CTACTGAAATAACAAGGTTACCGAGCTTTATGAGCTGCTGGGAGGAGACACGAGTCTTTTGACAGCCAAGTGGTCTAAACTGCAGCTTGTGAGAGTTTGTGCTTTGACTCTGTAGTGGATTCAGCAGAGACCTCATGAGAGAACTCAGGACATCTTCTGAAGCACTTAAAATCTGCAAAACACAAGGGCTATTTCCATGAGGTTTACTACTAATCACTGCCTGCTAATGCAAGAAATTCCAGAAACACACTAGAAAAAGTGACTTAAGACACTAACACATTCTAAATAGGACTCTGCTTCTGACACCATTCATTAGCAAAAAAAAAAAAAAAATAAAACAACAAAAGGAAGCATGCAGTCATGGATTCATGCCACTGCAAATCATCACTAACACAGTTAAGTGTCTGGAAAGAGAGGGAACTCAACACCAAGGGGAAAATATATGATGGAGATGGAAAAAAAAATAAAGCCACCGTAAATTGCAAGCCTTAGTCTCTTCTTGTTCCTACTGGTTAAAACGAAGAGCAACCAGACTGATGTTGAAGGAAATGAACACTCTCCAAAATGTTAAAAGAGAAAAAAGACTTCAAGGTCTCTAAAGATTAATTTAGACAATTATGTTTAAATTGCATTCCACAGGAGACAAGTTCCACACTTTTCTCCAAAAAGTGTAAAGAAATGTCAGTCTCAGGAAGCAGAGCATGTTTCTCTGGATGGTCTGATCTTCAGACCTTATCTGAAAGACAAATCTCTTTTAAAGAGTTCGTCAAGGGGAAAACACACAAAATAATTTCTCCGTTTACAAACACTCAACTAAAATATTTATATACAGAACATAATTCGCCTAACTACAGATGAAAATATCTTGGAACTGACTGTGTTCTGCCCAAATTCAATTCTAAGATGCAATAATACCCTACCTAAAATAAGTAAATGGGACACGAGCGCATACAGGACTGAAAATGTGACTCCCACTGTCTTACACAGCACAGTAACAGATATGCACAGTTGTGTAAAAACATCCGTGGAAAAAACACCATAAAATATGCTAAAAAGAAAACCTTTTGTGGAAATGAAATCAAAACAATGCAGCAATGAAGACACTATGAAGTGAATGGCCCACTATGCACTACCTAGAACTGTCCAGCAGGTCACTTGCAGGAATCCCAAATGTTGGGCCATCTCTTCATTACCTTTCCCAGACCTCCCAAATAAAAGGAGTCACACGAGTGCAAAGTCACTAGTGAACAAAAAACAGCAGAAACACACTTCAAAAATGGAAACCACACTGCTCATGAGAGAAAACTGGCATTTCCAAGTGTCTGAATTTCAGAATGTACAAGTGACACTACCAGGGGGTTGAGGTAGGTGATCCTCCTTTATTCAGTACTGGTGAAGCCACACTTGGAGAACTGTGTCCAGTGCTGGTTCTTCACTACAAGAGAGACATGAACATACTGCAGAGTCCAGACAAAGGCCATAAAGATAATGATGGGACTAGAACACATCTCCCACAAAAAAATGTTTGAGAGAGCTGTGGTTGTTCAGCTCTCACAACGAGACCTTATCAATGGAAAGCACCGAAAGGCAGGGTGAAAAAAGAATAAAGCCCCTTTATGCCCACTTGGTTACAATTCAGAGCTCCCTCTGGCTCTGGGCTAAAACACATGGGAGCTTTGCCAGAGTGGAATGGGAGTGGGTTCAGGGCCTTTACACAGCCTCCCTGTGTGTTCCTCCACCCTGGTGTTATGTAAGAAACTGAGCTAAACTGTAAATATTACACAACCTCAAAAAGGGAAGGGACTAGTAAAATATCTCCACAACTCCTTCATGCTGACTCACCCCTTCCTCTCCACTTGAAGTTATTATCCACATTTAGGAGTACAAAGATATGCCTGAAATGGTCATCTCTTGTCTCTTTATCATGCTCTAGGCACAGTGAGATATTTCACCAGTGTGAACAGGACAACACATAGAGCCTGAAGACAGCCTTTTGAGCATGGCCTGTTGCAATAGAACACAGGGTAATGGCTTTAAACTTAAAGAGGGTAGATTTAGACCAGAGATTAGGACGAAATGCTTAATAATGAGGATGGTGATACACTGGAACAGGTTGCTCAGAGAGCTGGCAGATGCCCTATTCCTGGAAATATTCAACTGCCCTGAGTTGGATGGGGCTCTGAGCGACCTGATCTAGTTGAGGATGTCCCTACTTATTGCAGGGGGTGTTGGACTAGGTGGCCTTTAGAGGCACCTTCCAACCAAAGTATTCTACGATTCTAAGCAGGACAACAGTGTCAGGAAAAAGACTGCAGTCTTCCCCCCAGCTCTGCTGCAGTCATTGCTGCAGTGCACTTCCAGTACCTGAAGACACACACATATTTTTCATTAATTTCTTGCTGTGGATCTAAGCCCACCACCTCACCACCAACCTGGAAAAATAACCCAGGGATTATGATCATTTGACAAAAGAAGCAGCAGTAGTGTCTCAGCTTGCTTGGTAACTACAAGTAGGTCAGATGGGAGTGGAAAAACAGAACTGAGTTAAGATTTTGCCTACAAATTCTACCACTGTGGTCTCATGACATCATATTAAACAACAAAAAAGCTTTCTAGGCAGGACATCAGTCCACAGAATATTCTCAGACCTAGAAGGACGTGGAAATTTGTACCCTGCTTAGGCTGGGTAAAAACATTGTCATAGATCTAGACACTTAGAATTCTCATTATGCTGTAAAAATCATTTACCCAATGACAGCCTGTCTCCAGTAGAGTTAATGCTGTAGCAAAATATACTTGTGGCAACTCAGTGGTAACTTCATATCTTGTAATAATTAGAAAATATGTATGATCTTGAAGGATACACTGTTATGCTGAAGGATATCACTGCACTTAAAAGTGTAAAACATTGAGCATGAACAGAAATTGCCTGGTCTAGTATTGCTTACCTAAATACAATGCATTGTGCATGAGTGGAAATTGCTAATTTTCATGTTAGATATTTAATACATGGTTGTAAAACTTATACAAACTGTAATTTATCAACTACAGTTGCATATTGAAAATATACTGCACATTATCTGTATATAAATGACTTATTTATGTTCACTAAGAAAACTCAAATTCACAAGAGATCTATTTTCCATAGCTCCAAGCACTAGAAGTTCATGTGCAAAAATAATTTTTCTTAACACGCATTGTCATACTATGCCATTTAAAATATTGGATGAAATTCTCAATTCATGCAAGGAACCTGACATCTAATTCAACTTCATCTTATGACCTCACCCAGTAGGTCTGTGTCAGCAGCCTCTTCTCTGACAAAAACTCTCATCTGAACCAAGCCAAATATTTTTTGATGACATTATTTCTAAAAATTAAAACCACAAAATCCAGTGTTTTAGCAGTGTCTTAATATAAGAAGACTAAATCATTTTATATGAGTTTCAGTTTCTAAACCATGCATTTACTAATAATGATCAAATTATTAACGTCATATTAATTTTTACTGATATGGACAGTGAGAAATGAGGAAGGTGATGTTTTAAGATTAATGTTTAAATAAGATGTGCCCACTGGTACAGACCAGCCCTATAGCTATACTAGGGCAAAATGAGTGGAAAGAGCTACCCGAGACTTAAAACTAAGTTATTGAAATTTATGTGCCAATCACTAATGTAATAAAAAAATATAAATAAATACTGACTAAACCATTCTGTGTAAATTCATTTATGCAGGTAATTTTTCAGCATACCATATCAAGTTATCTTTTTGCACTATATAGAGGACAGACTTTGAAAAGTGACTACTTCCATTAACAACAGATAAATAACAAATTTCTCTGTTTCGTACTGGTAAAGTGAATAGCCATGAAAACTCTGCAAATGTGCCATTAATGCTTCACCAAGCTATATTGAGGCAGCTTCCCTTAAGTGAGATTCATTTCCTGGCACAAAATTGATTTTGGGTGGAATTTAGTGTGGGTTCCCCTGTGACTCCTAGTTCAGCATATAGATAAGTAAATTAACAAACCAAAATAAAACACCCCAAAAACCCAAAGAACTGGACCTGGTTGTGCCCTCTGAATATCAGATATCATAAAAATATCTCAATTGCTCCACAGCACTAGCTATTACTCAGTAGGAATAAAATATCAGTTATCAGTCCAAAGAAAGCAATCAAACATGAACATTTATCTCCACAGTCTTCTTGAAGAAGAATGTTCAATTCAGGCAACCCAAAAGCATTTACTCCCATTGGAAGGAAAAGGCTTCAATTAATACTCAACTTCAGACTCTGCTTTTGTAACAATATAGCCAGTAAGTACAGTGATTTTTTAGCAGAATCTACCAGGTCTCTGCACTATGTACTCCCAAAGAACTTCAGGTCTATTTATACACAATTGCATACTATTCCAGTCTTTCTCTACAGGTTTCAGTTCCCATTCTAGACCAGCTGAGTTAGTAGTAAATCTAACATTGTATGACCTCAGTGGTATATCACCTTTAGTCATGGATATCTCTCTCAATATAAAAATAAAGCAGAAGACAATTTTAGAAACTTTTTTTTTAACTTGATGTTTTTCTAACTTTGAAAAAGGTAGTCACACAAATGTGTTCTCATTGAAAAAGAAAGGTGGCAAAAGTCCATTACAATTTGTGTCTCTTCTGTATTAAGGTCTAGAAATATGACTGAAACTTCTTTTATAAAATATTTTTCAAAATCACATGGATTTTAGGGATTTATTTATTTATTATTGGTTTTCACTTAGGGAAGACTTTGAAAAAAGTTCCCATTTTCTTTTTCTCAACAGTGCAGAAAATTAAATATGTATTGAATACTGTCACACATAATAATCATGCCATTTCATATTCATTAGTACCCTCATAAATGAAACATGAGCTCTGCTGGAGAGAACTGTCACCTTGTGAGAAACAAAGACCATTTGCTTACCAAATATAAATAAAAGAGAAAGTACAGAAAAGAACATAATTTCTTACCATTGTAAGAGTGAATGGATGACTTTCCAGGGCAGACACTCTTGGACAGTGGAGAATAACATACTGAAATAAAATGGTAGAAAGGATACGTTCAAATCATTCAGTGATGGGCTAGTACTTATAAAGTGATAGTCATCCCTACAGACAACGTTACATGAAAGCAAAGTGATTTTTCAGGGGCACATTAACTCACCTGACCAGGCCTTGCTTCAAAGTCATCTTTCACCATCCTGACTTCAAGGACGTTGGAGGGGTGGCTTATCACTGAGGTTATTGTGACGGGTTTGTTGCTGCGGATGTAGCGGTACAGCCGCTCCACACAGTACAGGCACAGCGGTCCGGAAATCCAGAACCAGGTCTAAGGGACAACAAAAACATGTCACCTCAGAGACTTTGAACTCTCTGCTTTCCGTTTTCACAACTACATGAGTGCTTTCAGGATCTCACTTCACATCTAACATCCACACCTCTCCCTATGTGCAGAAACCCGAGAATGTTCCGAAGCCTTCATCAGTCTAACCAGCAGCATCACCCACCAGCACAAGCAATTTCAATCATAAAACTCATCAGGAAAAAGATGCTAATGACCTCATCTGCTACCATGTTATTCTGGTTTTATGCAGTTAGATTGCAGCTGGTTTCAGCAATGAAATAAACAGTACCTACACAGAGCAGAGCACTACACAATTGGTTAACATTTATGGGAAAGCGCTGTCTGACTTGGAGTATTATTTAACTATTACCTTCTTATAGTCATCTCAGGTTCAAGTAAAAACCTAAGAAAGCTGCATTTTTATGCTATAGAAATTATGCTGATATTAAACTAGTGTAACATCATAGACAACAGAGAGAAATGAGCATTTTTGAATCACAATCCATTTGCTCCCATGGAAGATGTGTATGCTAGACAGAAAATGGAAATGCCCATTTCTCTGCACTGATTATATGGGAAGTCCTGGGTGACTACTCCAGATGGAGACATTTACAGCTGTTCAGCTAAACCCTATCCTAAGAGTCAATTACCAATAGCTTATGGCAGACTTATGTACTAATTCCACATCTGCTCCATCATTCAAGCTGTGGCACTGAAGTGCCCTCAACCCTCATCCATCTTCCATCCCTTCCCAATTTTTGACATTACACATTAAAATCTCTTGCAACTAGCAGACCATTTACTTTCAACAAAAAAGCCTTACACGTTTCAGTAGCTCACAGCTTTTTTTTTTTTTTTTAACTTGGTATCACAATATTTCCAAATCCAAAAAAGTCCTAAGTAGTGTTTCAAAGCTGCCAGGAGAACACTAAGTGGCCGTTTCTTTCCATGACTTCTTTCCCATTAATGACTCTAAAGCAGGCAAGCAGGCATCTTAAGCCCCTAAGAAGACTCCTTGCTGTCCTGCAGGTCATATGGAGCCAGATATACACTGATGCTTATAATTCGGAAGTATTACCATAACAAAACACCAATCCAAAGAGCTCTGTTGTTAATTCAATGTAGAATTAACTGTTTCTCATTAGGATTGAATGCTCCACACAAAAATGGGAACACGCTCCATAGAAAAATGGGTTCCCAGCGCAGCTAGAAAGGGGGACACATGTTCAACAGAAAACAACAATGATAATAATAAAGAGAAACTCGTGTGGGGTCTGTTATGGGACCATCTTGAATGGTGGGCCTTGGACTCATGAGCTCCATATTTGCAAGCTTCCTCAGGCTACTTGCCAATACAGCCCAGCTCAACTTTTCTCAAAAGAAAAGAGAAAATTTTGGATGAAGAAAAAGCTGCTGCAACAAAACATAAAGAAACAAAAGGAAAATGGAAAACAGAAAAAGAAAAGGCTTTTCTGTCCCCTCTGTCATCATACTCATTTACCCATGCCACATACAAAACAAGCCTGTCTGCAAACAACAGGCTATAAAAGCCAAACCACAACCAACTGCAACCCAGAAATTAGTATTAGGACTTGCATCCGCATGGTAAAAAAGAGAACAAATGGAGCTTGATTATTTCAATTAACTACTGCCACACAATGCTTACAAAAGGACCTTACGAAATGTTATATAAATGTTTGCTCTGAAATGCTATGCTGTAAAATCACATTTTTAGCAGGATCAATACATCTCTTCAAAAAAAGAACATTGCAGCCAATCTCATGACATTTTTTCACCCTCCCTGTTCTATGCATCACATTGTAATGCACTTCAGGGTTAAATACAGATTGTTTTTTCCCCACCAAACCTTTGAATGCCTCAAAAGGTTTTAATAATATTTTCCATTATTAAAACATCTGGTCTGGAAAAGCAATAATTAGTGGTTATGGCTGACTGAAAGGCTTGGCATGGCTTTCAATACCTGAAATGTCGGATCATACAGACCTCTGGGAAGTGAGACTGGAACTTGGGCTCCTCGGAACAAACTCTCACAAAGCTATTTTGTACAAAGGGTTCTGGTACTGCTAGGTCCTCTGGGAAAGGCTCAGCAGTATAGCCAGGAAACAGCTCCTCAAAAGCCTTTGGCACAGTCACATTCTGTCGGAGAGTTTTGTTAGGATTAAAGCAACCAGGAGGGTGTTCCTCTAAGTTGGTCTGGTACTTGAGCACTCCTCTGCAGGAAAATAAAAATAGTAAAGACACTGAAGTAACAGTAAATAACAAACAACTTATCTTCATTCAGAGAGGACTTCAGAAAGCCGTCACAAGTCTCATCTTCTGTTAGAAATTTTATTCCATTTGCCTTCAGGACTTTCAATGAGATTGAAAGTTTGCAACAATAGAGCCTTCTGTCACTAGAGGCAAGGTTTAACTTTTCCAGCTCACTTGGCACTTCCCTACTGAACAGCCTCAAGCTTAATACTGCTTGAAAGGGAGAAAATATTGTGGGGGCCTTGAAAAAAAATTTAAAAATCACATTTCCAATTCAATCACACTCAGGCTGTTTTCACTCATCCTCCCTACAGTCAGCAAGCCGTTTTTAAAGCAATCTTGTAGCAGAAGTGGCTTAAGTTGCCAAATCATAAACTGCAGGAATGTTCCCACTACTTGGTGTTTATCTGGTTTGCACACAAATAGAAGGAAAAAAGAAAGTCCTGCGTGGTAGCCAAGGAACCTTCCTTGCAAATTATTTTATGAGGTCAATCCTTATTTTATTTTTCCTCAAGCTAAGTTCAATTTACAGTAAAATGACGTGAGAACTTTGAAGCTGCAGTTAGAAACTCTGAAGAAAGAATTGGAAACCTAAGACACTCTGGGATATCTCAGCACACAAATGAATCAATGAAAACAGGGAAGAACAGATAATAGTAGTAATAAAATTCTTCAGAAGTACTACTTGTTTCCAAATAGAGATTTGATGACAGTAAAACCACAAGGAAGAATAAAAAAATTTAAAAAAAAAGAAAGCTGAATGCCACCTATAGAGGATGGTGCTGGGTGGGAAATGAGGCATACTGAGACAATGCCCTCTGAGTGCTAAGTCTTGTTAGGAAGGCTCAGCTCAAGTATGCAATCAAATATAAGGTCAGGTGCTCCCCCCTCCTCTCCTTAACATACACACAGCAGCAGCAGTAACAGAGTTTAATTCAGAAGAAAGAACTAGGACATCTGCAATATTCCCAACCTAAATGGACTCTGACAGGCTACTGGCAATCATCTCTACCAAAATGCAGTCCTGACAGCTAGTAACAAGCTTCCTACATGGTCCAGTGAATCATGTCAGCGTGGAAGTTAAGCCTGCTCACTCTCAAATTCCACATCTGACCCTGGGAGATCCGTTCTTGCACCTACACCCATGCTTCTGCCTGTGTTTATTGTTCAATCATGCCTATCACTTGCATCTGGCATCACTGCTGGTCACCACATATTGGCAAAGTGACAGATACCCCCGGCATTATGCTAGTTCCCTGCTCCATTAATACTATGGTGCCTCATGGATTTAGCTGGAAGTCAAAGCCTGTGCAATATTTTTCTGGTGAACCTTGCATGCATGCCTGCCAGCAACTCCCACAGCTTCTCTCTTCTCAGCACATCCCGAAAGAGGATTGCCTTGAGAGTAGCTGCAAACATGAGCAGCCCCTCCAGTGATCTCTAGTTTATTTAACCTATTACAAACATGCTAGCTGAGAGGCAAACAGGGATTGCAAAGCTGCCTGCTAACAGCAGCTCATTAACTCCCATTTCTGAAGCTGTCAAGGAAAAGTAAGTCTTACACACCCAAGACCAGTGCCCAGAAAGGTTGAATTCTGCACTGAACAAACAAACCACTAACATATGACAGATGAATCACATCACTTCATATATTGCTGAGAAGTGGTTGGCTGCCTGAAGGATACTGTAAAAACATACCTACAACAGTTTGAAACAAAACAAGAATCCAGCAATACTGTGGAAATACTTTACTCATAAGACAGGTGAAACCTCAGTCAACCTGCCTGCACAGTTCAGCCACAGGAAATGCTTTGCTGTGTACAGTAACTGGCTATGTTCTGCAAATCTCAAAGACATCCCACACAGGAGTAATTTGGGCACCTAAGAATGGATATCTAAGCTTCCTTTATTCTCAAAAGAGATCACAGAATTGTTTAGGTTGGAAAAGACCTCTAAGATCACAAAGCCCAACCATTAACCCAGCACTACCATGTTCACCACAGGAACCATGTCCCTAAGCACCACATTTACACATCTCTTAAATACCCCCAGGGATGGTGACTTTAATGCTTCCCTAGGCAGCCTGTTCCAGTGCCTGACAACCCTTTTGGTAAAGAAATTTTTCCTAATGTCAAATCTAAATCATCCCTCATGCAACATCAACCCCACATCCTATTGAACTTATTAATATCATAATGGAGCCAGGAATCAGTCCAGTTCACCTGAATGTAGATCTCTGAAGCAGCAAATTACATGAAGCATCCCTTAGGCTCCATTGGCTCTATTTATCAGAACTCATTAGACCATAATGGGAAAGACACTGAGAAAACATGTAGAGACCTACATTTAGGCATCTTAAAGTTGAACTGACTCCCACTCTCCATGACTCATTCCTCTCCCACTTCTGACACTCAGTTCTTTCAGATTTGCACTGAATACCTTTGTAATTCAATACTAAGGAGGCTGCATACCAGAATATGCCTGTTCAATGCCTGCTGTATTACTGCAGCCTTGGTTTGCAAACTTGGTAAATGGAACATGGTTAGGAAAACAATGGGCAAAGGATAATACTGTGAAGGAGATTAATTAAACTGGACATGAAAAATACCCCTAAGGCAGTCACTGGAACAGATTGCCTAGGGAGGTCAGAGGATCTCAGTCACCAGATGTTTTAAAGAATTTGACAAACACCTGTCAAGAATAATTTAGAAAAAGTTCATCCTGGCCTAGGATGGGGAGAACAGGTTAGATCCATCTTCCTCAGCTATAAACAAGCACTGTGCCATTTAAAAAAAAACAAAAAACAAAAACCAAAGAAACCCAAACAAATCCCCAAAACAATAACCCAAAAATAACCCCTCAACAATCTCACTGAGAACTGGAATTGTGTGCAGAAGTTTCAATTGTTTTGAATTCATTATTTCTCAAACAGCATATTTTATTCAACAACATATTCCTTGACCTTGCTAGGCCTAATTCCCTTTCCAAGTTTACTTTAAGCAGCAGGGCTCAGTGTCACACATTCAAGCACCCTGCGTTTCAGTGGATATTTCATGACATGGAGAAATAAACCTCATTCAAATGCACCTTCCCTTCTCTACACTCTGCATCGACATCCACAGAGGAAACTTCAGAGTTGTTAGTGGAACAGATTTTCACAGAATCATTGAATAGTTTGGGTTGGAAGGAACCTTTAAAGGTCACCTAGTGCAACCCCCAAACAATGCAGACATACATCGTAACTTCTGGAAGATGCTTTACCTTGCAACAGAGCTCAGCTTCTTTGAGCCTGATACAAATCTCACCATCAGCTTCATGGCACATAAACATTGGTCTGATGTTTGTGAAAAGAAAAACTAGCAAATTTTGTAAGCAAAGAGAAAGAGGTAATTAGGGAGACGCCATTCCTTCTCTCTCCTTTGGAGTTAAAAAAGAAGGCAGAAAGGAAAATGCAAGGGATGAACAACTTTGCTTCATATTCTTGTCTCAGCAAACGGGTAAGAGGGTGCAGAAAAAAAAACTATGTTTTCTTGATTTCTCACCAGAGACTCAGCAATGGAAATGGAAAAGGAATAATCTTGAAAGTGAAGAACTTTGTGCTAGTTGGCTCTAGCACACACAAATCTCCAAGTTACAGCCCGATCTTTATTTAAACACACACCAGAGGACAACGTCTTGTCCCAGAGTGGCCCACTGTTCTCAAGCAAGCTCAAGAAAGGCAGCAATCAAGGAAACTGCTCTTTCTGATTGTGCTTCAGTAAAAGTAAAAATATTTTCCATTTACTTACCCAGAAACATGCAGCATCAGCAGCATATAGAAGACAAAGAAAAGGTTGTGTGTATACCAGAAGATGTCATAGTTTGAAACCCTGAAAAGAATAGACCATGGTTCAATGCTGTTTCAACTCAGATGAAATCACTGCTAATTAAAAGCAGACCTGTGCACACAGGACGTCATTATACACTGCACAGTCATGTAAAATAGCCAAAGCCCAGAATGTTTTCCCACAGGCACACTCTACTTGCACACAATTAAGTGTTGAAAAGAACAAGTGACTGGCACAGAAGTAACAAGCTGAGAAAGAAAGGTAAGGGTGTAGAAGTACAGAGCCAGATGGAGAACTTTTCTGAAACTGGGAGACTTGACTGCTTTCACAGCTCCTAGCTAGTCTCCATAAGATCCTTATAGCTGGAAGAGTTCTTACACCTCCAAATTCAACTTCCTTACAGTGAGTGTCACCTTGCATTTTCCCTGCCCCAATACAGTTTAAAGTGTCACTAAAGCTGCAGCACACAAACAGGTAGCATGGACAGCAGCAGAAGGCCCAGTGGGAACCTAAAAAACTTGTGAGGGTATGGAGTGGAAGGAGATACTGGAAGAACAGGACCTAGAGCAAGGAGATAACAAGAGCACAGGTAGGAGAATTTTCAGGGCAGGAAGCCACATATATTACTGCTCCAGGACTGATGCTCTTGGGAGGAACAAGAACATTATCACTGTGAGATCAGGAGAAGTGAAGCGAAAAGAGCACTTCCTTTTACCAGTAATTTGTTAGACAATATTTAAAAAAACTCAGACCAAAGGAAATACCCATCTGGAACTGTTTTCTGTTAAGCTTGTTTGGGTTTTTGGGGTTTTTTTTGAGTAAAATAGTTACCAACGAACAACAATGAAACGGCTAAGAAAATACACTACTTCACAGCATACAAACACACATCTCACACTACACAGCATGGTAGGAGAGTCCCCTCTAAAACCAAAAAACCTACCCCAATTCATAAATCAAAACAATGATTAAATAAAAAGTGTCTTTAGCTCTGAGAACACGGTTTAAGAAGTTATTCCTCTGGGACAGCTAGCTTCTTTTTTTCCCAGAACTTTTTCCCCTCCTACGGCTTTTACAACCAGCTAACTGTTCTCCCTTCAATCCAACTGAAACATATATTGCATTTGTTTTTGTCAATACAGGATTTATTTGTTTTCTTTCTCAAGAGAGGAAAAATAGCTTTGATAATCCAAGGGCTACCAAAATGAAATCCAAGCCAGCAAAGTGACAAGGAAGGAAGGAAAGGAGGAAAAATGGAAGCAAAGGAAGGAATACAGCAACAGCAAGGGGCTCTGAAATGCCCCCTCCACCCTGCCATTCTTTCCCCAGTCAGCACTATGTTAACACCTTTTCCTCCTTGAAGCTGCTCAAGCCTTTCCTAACTCCCCACACCCTGAGAGGCATTTCCATGCAGTCACTGCCAGCATCCATGAGGAGTTGTGGGAGTAATCATCAGTAACAGGAAAATAAGAACAATGGTGTGCAGAGTGGAAGCACAATTTGGAAGGCACAAAGAGTAAAATCTACCCTCTGTCTCAAAACTGGTGATAGAATCCTAGAAAGGGACCTAAAGATGGTCTAGATAAAAACCCCATACCATGAGAAGGGACAAGGACAGGTCTTGGAGCTCTGGTTTAATTTGGTTTCATGCCATAATGCTAAAAGCTGCACACTGAATATTTTATTGGCTCTTGAGCACCTTTTTCAGAATGCACCAATTTTTCAAAATTTCAGTGATGAAAAGTCAATCCCTGAACTGCTTCTGACATGTTGCTTTCAACAGCTAATTATTGCTACTGATTAAAATTACCGTACACTTCTTTCCTGAGTACGTCTAAATGTCAGCTTCCAGCTCATTGAGCATTTTATTCTTCTTTCAGCACTCCTACAGATACCTCTACTATAAAATCCTAGCTCCTCACATGTATCAAGTTGCTGTAAATGTGAGCAGGCCCTCTGAACTTCACCTCCTTAAATTATATCATAGAGGTATGTAAATCCTTGAACCTCTTACCATGAAGTGTATTTTCCAACACTGCAACAATTACGTATTTCTTATTTATATCCTTAAACTGTGTATCCTACAGATACATAGAGTATTCTAACATAGTCAGTAATCTTCCTATTGATACACACACATTTTTATAGCTCTTCAGAACATTTTTTTTTTTACTTTCTTAGGGCTTAAAATAGGCATTATTCACAGCATGGATGCATTTCCTATGAATGCAGAGTCCTGAAAATTTGAGGTAAGTTGATTATTTAATTTTGGTTAACCTACTTTGGCATTTTGCAGATGAAGACCTGCAAGAGTTAATTTACTGAGAAATGTAAGGGAAATTTATCATGCTTTAAAGGGGCACACTAAGCAGCACAGTTTTAGAAAAATATTTTTAATCCTGTTACAGTTTTGAAAAGGAGGATATATGTGGTAGTTTAGAAGATGAAATTGAAGACAAGAATATTTGGTTACAAAAATAGATGGCACTGCAGCACCTTATTTTCTAATGTTCTTTTAAATACATACCTTCCAAATCTTAAGCATCATTAATTTTAAAGTTGGCAGAAATGTCAACATTTATTGACAGGATTTATTGTGTTTTCTGATAACTTCATAACCTTACTGAAAACAACTACAGAGCAAAAGATGTTGGTCTATTTCTCAGGTATGACGTGGCAAAAATTTAGAAAATTTTTCAACTAATAATCACTTTCCCCTTTTAAAACACTAGCAGCTAATTCAGTCCTTCTAATACTTATTTGCACAGTTTACTGAAAAGGCAGGAAAATAGAGGCATACTCATGCATAGAACAATTTCAGGAAGAACATACAAAGGAAGAAATCACTAAGCAGGTCAGTGTGCAAGAGCAGATTAGGGCTGAAATTCATGACTATAACAGCCTCTGAAATATTTTTTTAAAAGTTCAGCTTCTGATAGACAGTGAACATTTACAACTGACTTTCCTAAAACTGTACTCTGTGCTCAGCCATCATAGGGCATGTGAGAATCCACTGGGAAAGAGATAGAAAAGGGATCGAGAGATGCATGCAGCAACTTGTTTCCCTAGGAGGAAACACTATAATAAAGAAAAGCTTCAGCTCTATGCCTGAGGGAGAAGCCAGGATAAAATTTCCAAGTTAGAATTATTGCTAGGGTAACAGGAGATGCAGATTAACTCTTTTGGGGCCTCAATTCTGCCGGCTAGATGGCAGAAAGCTGGGAAAGTATTTGCACTTACAGTAACTGTGGAAGGAACTAAAAAAGCATGTAACTTCAAAAGATGTTGCATGAACCCCAAAATTATTTCCAAGAATGTTTACAACTACATATATTTTTCTAAGTTTCCCAATCACTAATAAATAATGTTTTTCTAATTTATTTTGGCCTTGAAGAAGACAGGGCTTTGTTCTGGCTCAATGTTGAAGAGTTAAGTAATAATTTTATTTTTCCATCTTCCCAAAACTACCTTTCTTTTGCAAGCAGAGCCATCTGTGTGGACCATGTAATGTGCAGCCATGTGAAATCTGGCACAGCAGCCTAATCCTGTACTTCTGCAGCCTGCAGTGCCTCATAAAAGTCTCAGCCCTGGAAGAAGCCTGGTCTACTGAAAATGCACAAGTATTTGCTGAACTACTTTCTCAAATCACAGGATCATATTGCCAGGTAACACAGCTACTTGGAAAAGACAGAATAGTTCAAAAAAGTTCATAGCCATGTATCTAACTCACATCAGTGGAGCACCATTAATGTTTGAAGATAAATAATTAATATATCCTTCCATGTTTGCTGAATTGATGTGATGCACTTGTATAGACAAGCTGTGAATTCAACCTCTGTAAAAACAAAGGGGTCATTTTCACATGTTCAATTGCAGAATCCAAGCCTTGAAAAGACTACAACATTGGGCTAGACCCCCCAAGCTACCACTCATACAGAGATACTGTTCATTAACATTCTACTTCAGTAGCCTAATTTTGTGTCAGTTTGTTTCATTGCTGATAGCTGGGGGGTTGGGTTTTTTTGTTTGTTTGTTTTCGTTTTTTGGGTTTTTTTTGTTGTCGTTTGTTTGGTTTTTTGTTACTTTTTTGTTACAATTTATTGTTACAATTAATTTGTGAAAATAGTTAAGATAGCAATAGCATCTTATTTTTCTTCCACCGGACTTAATTTATGCATTGGACAGAACTTCCAATATGCTGAGTTTACTGCCTCCCCTACAACCAGGAACAAAAAAACTATTTAAATTTTTAAAGGTCCACATTTTTAACTCAGCACACTCATTAAATAGTATTTTTTCAGAAGGCAATTCAATCAGATCTTGTAATTGTTTTCATACAAAACTCACTGTGCTAATTTTACTGCAAGCTAGGGAAAAAAAGGACAAGAAAACTGGTATTTTTAAGACTCTAGTTCAGCAGGAGAACATGATTACAGAAATGGCATTTTTCAGCATAATGATCAGATTACATCTTACCTGATGGCATAGGTGGAAGCTGTACACATTAGGAATAATACTAATACCATAATTACTCCAGTCAGACCTGGAACTAAAAGGGAAATAACTTACATTTGAATTGTGAAGAGGTATACTCGTCTACTATGACCTTTTAAGAAAGTGGAATTAGACATACAAATTGTGATTCAATCAAACTCTTGAATGTACTTCTCTCTTGAGGACAACTCTTGTATAAAACCATTTAGGAAAGAAGAGTTCTTGTGTAATTTCCCTTCTTCCCAATGAAAATTACCCTTTTCCTTGCATTTCACCATGCATCACAATTTCCTATTTGTCTTTGCTCCTGTCATCTTTTGCTCGTGACATCTGTGTCTAAGCAGGTAACTAAGAACAAACACTGTTTACTTGCAAGACTGACAGCACAAGTTTCTGTCACTTTTTTATTCCAAACACTACACTCTGTTGATCATGACAATTAAAAACCTGTTCAGGGACAGAATTTCAAGCAAATCAATTTCTATGCAAGCTGTCACTACAATTTTTTGCCAGCCCATTTTCATTCTGGAATGAGGAAGAGCCTGAAATTACTCTCCATGGCATTGTATCACATTTGAAATTGTTGCCCATAGAGCAAGGTCTGTGAGAGGGATCTGCAGCCAGCACTTGGGAAGGAAAGGTTAAAAATATTAACAATTTGACTCATCTGCTCAAATGAAGAATTGTATCAGAACTAGTTTATCCTCAGATCTTTTTTAAGTTGAAGGAGAGATAATCTCAAATATTATCTTTTTATAAACTTCTCAATATCCACTCATTGAAAAGCCTGATACCCAAAATCTGACTGACCACAACTCTCTCAGTTTTTACAGCCCTACAATCACTGGAAGCTTTGTCATGGACTGCATAAAAAAATTTGATTTCCGTCCTTCATGGAAAGATTGCAATTAAAAGAAGTTACAATTAAAAGAAATATGCATTCTGTCCACTGCCTCCTTTTAAATTTTTTTCTCAATCTGATTTGATGTGCAGCGTGCAATGAATCTCAGCTCTGAACAAATACCTCCAATGCAATTGCAGCACAGCACTTGATCCAGCTTCCTACACTGTCTCTAAAGCCAGAGGTCACCTTTTATGTCCAGTTTTTCAATTATCTTCTCCATCAAACTGAAATTCTTCACAGTCTTGCCCCAATTTATCAGTTCAATGTTAGTGTTTCCTCTCCACCCTGTCCCTGACTCTCCTCCACTAAGTATAATCTTGAATACTTGTTCCTCCCACAGCCTGCCTCACAACCTCAACAAGAAGGTTCTTCCCTGGACTAATCTGAAAAGCCATCATCACCCCATAAATCCTCCTGATTCCTTATTCCTTCTGTTTGCTGTTCTGAACTGTCTAGGAAGAAACCAGGGGATTTTTGCTTATTTGCAGAGCTCCCAGAGCAGGAAAATCTTGGTCCCTGCCTGGGCACTCCTTCAGCACAAATAATACCTGTTAATTACCAGTCGTTAGGACAGGGAGTGAATGGAGTAATTTTAAATTTAGGATAACTCCGACCTCAGTTCCTGTCAGTTCACTTTCTCTCTTCCTCTATTGTCAACTCTAAACTTTCCTAAGGGTTTTTGGGAAACACTGGTGCACCAGCTGCAAATTCCAGCACACCTATTGGGATTGACAAACCTAGAACCATTGCTGTGTTCACAGATTTGATTTGACTGCGTCCTAAATGCTACCAAACCAGGATTTTTGTGTTTGATCCAAATGAAGAAGAAAGTGGAATGGCACCAGGAACTTTATCTGCTTATGAAGCACTATAGCTCAGACTGGTGCCTGCCCCTCCATACTCAAACACTGCTCCCTTCTAAATTCCTGCTCCAAAAAAAGTCTTCATCTATTTATTCTGTATGAATGCTGAAGCCTGATACCCATGTAACAGTTTAGATTACTCAAAACCCAATCAGCTCTTAAATAAACCAGCCAAAGCAAAAAGACTGGTTTGCCATTACGTTTCTTTTTCTAGAAATTGAATCATTTAGGAATTTTTTATATTAGGGAGAATCTCTGTTTGAAACTAATGGACTTCTGCTGACTCATGTGTACAACAACAAATTTGAAGATGCTGCTTATCCTACTACTGGGCTTATGTAAGTCCTGCTTTCTGACTACTGGAAAAGCAAACCCAGGTTATATTAACACAAATAATACAACTCCAGATAGCTGAGATACAACAAATGCAGCATGCCAATACAGGACCAAAAGAAGTTTTGTCTGCAAAGTGATGATGATAAGCATTCATTCAGTTTTGCAAGACTTACCAGTTGCAAAAAGTAGTTTCCTCGGGTCCTGAAAAATAGGCAAGCAAAAACAATTAAAATAAACATATGGTATTTTATATCTATAATATGAATAATTTTATAATATAAGTAGACCATGAAGATCACACATTTTAATACATATGCAGTCCTTAAATCTGGAAGCAGGAATGGATTTGGTATTTGGTAACAGTTTATATTGACTGCAATTCAACAAAAACTAAACCTTTAGCCTTTGCATTCCCCCGGCAAAAATAATTCTGATCTATAATCTGGATTCAGATAATTTTACAGATAATTGTTTTTTGAAAGCTTAACTTTACTCAGTTACCTCATCCCTTTGGGAGGACAGAGTGAAGCAGAAGAGGGAGAGGTTTTGAATTTAAATGTAAGACAAGAGGCAAGGGTTTTACTGGCAGCTACATCACCAAGACATTTGCAGTGGACCCTAGTGAAGCAAGACTGAACACAAAGGATCTGACAGATGTTCCTGTGTCCTTCACCACATGTGAAAGAAAGAGGGGATATTTCAACATCAGGGAAACTGCCTCACTTCCCCTGATCCTATACTTCAGGAGATTTTGTCTTCATTGCTTAGAAAACATTTTTTATTTAAACTTGCAGTAAAATGTAGCTAGGGGAAGCGAGAAGTTTTCATACAAGACAGGAAAAATGGAGTGACCCTTTCTGACCTTGTCTGCATCCAGATATGTGTACCCAGGTAGAGAAGATGAGAGCAGGACCCAGACTGTCCACCACAGTTTAAAAAGGAATATAAGTGGGATTCAAGTACAAAGGTGCAAGAGCTACTAAAGTACCTAAAATTCAGGAGTTTTGATCGTAGAGTTCCTAAAAAACTTGCTATTGTCTCCATTCTCTATTGCAAAATTCCTAAGGCTACTTAGCAGAGGCTTAGAACCCTGGCACATTCTTGCCAGAGGCAAGCTCCTGCTGATGTTCCTGATGAAGCAAAGTCAATCAGACCACTCCTAACACAAGCAGACACACAGTTCAACCCAGAAGCTCAGCACAACACTTGGTGTTGGCATGTCTGTCTGCCACTGAATAGCTCGGTGATTAGATCATTCACCCAGGGAGTGGAAGACCTTGGTTGCTGGTCCTTGTGAGCCTGGACTGAGACAAGCTCTCTTTTTCCAGGAAACGATGCAGCTGGGATAGGGTCACTCTAAATATTTCCTAATGAAATGGGTAGAAAAGAAATACAGACCAGAGGCTAGAATGAACACAAACAAGAGAGAACTTGACTGCAGCCCAAGAAGAAAGGGTGCTGGACTCTGGTCTTGCTTCTAAAATCTGCAAATATCTCTCCAGTGCCAAATACACAAGTAAGCACCTGGCCAAGGGACTAGGAATCTGATATTTCTGCAAGAGATCTGCACCACAGTCAGACAAGGCACACAAATCAAGTATTTCTCAAGTAGAAATCAGTTCATGAAGATAATTAATTCCATGCTTAGCATATATACTCATATATGCATTCACTGCAGCTGAAAAATGTAAAAGCAGTTTAAAATCTCACTGTATTATAAATAGTGGAAATACAGAACAAATTTGCCCAAAAAGCAGCAGAAATGTGTTAACCAGGCCCACCCAAGGAACAGAGAGAAGCAGAAGAGAAGCAAGAGAACAAGGTGCAAGGTGAAAAGTTTAGATGATTGTATTCTCCACCTAATAATCAAACAGGACTGAACCTTGCTGGCTTTAATACATGCTTTGTCCAGAGAAAGAAATAAAATCCACAGGAATCCACATTATGGTGAGTTTTCAGTGCGTGAAACAGGAGCACTGTATAGATCACACAATAGCATTGAATATGTAAATATTCATATATTTAAATTATATGCTTAAAACTAAAATATGAAAGGAAAGTTGGCTCACCTCACCACGATAGTTTGCTGCATTTAGGGTCACAAACTCTTCATTGTAGTTCTCAGAGAAGTTAAGAGCATTCACCAGATGAGCAGCAACATGTAAGACTAAAAAACCCAAAAAACAGTAAAGCTGAGGATCTGTAAACAAGAGCTGGGTGTTCCCTGTGGTCACCCAGATGCCAAGATATAATCACATCACCTGCATGAGACATACCAGGGACTAAGGAATTCTTAATTATCTTTCAAGAGTAAATCAGCTTATAAATATTAATGGCAGAAAGCTGTATGCATTTTAGGAATTTTAACACTATAGCATAGCAATGATTTCTTTACTGCAATGCTTCAACTGAGAGACAACATTCAAAGGTGTCCAGCCAAGAATATTTCTTCTTCCCCAAACTGGGTAGCTGTCTCCACTGCTCCCTCCTCTGCAGGTAAGCCCGTAGTACCCCGCTTTTTCACTCAAATTCCTTAGGCACAATGAGGGATCACTTGTAATGGCAGATTTTGACCTGATCTCACATACCTGTCTTCTAAGAAACCGGCATTTTAAGGAAAGGCTTGACATTAGAATGTATGCCCATATGTTTAAAGCAAAAAATGAACCAAAACCCACACACATTCGAGAAAGCATTCACAATTTAAGACGAGCAAGCACAGAGCAAGACTACCCCCAAATGTACTGCAGCAGAAAAAACACCACTAAATACTGCATCAACTGCTTCTGAAACATGCTGCTGCTCAGCACAGTAAGATCTCACCTGAAAAGATGCATATTGTAACACCACACGTCACATGGAAGGTTTTACTTTTATCTAGCAGCCTTCTGGTTTTCTTGCTGGCAACCTAGTAAGAAAAGGATTCAAGTAATCTCTTCCAAAACAAAGCAGAGAAAAAAATACTAATAGCAGCAGTGGTGATATAACAGCAACTTCAGTTTCTACTAGGTTTAACACCTTTGCAAGCATAGCACCTAAATTTAAAAGCTACTGGATTATGCCAGGGACACAATTTTGAAGACTTTATGAAGAAATTACACAGATGGCAAGAGTAGGTAATGTACCTCCTGGCCTTAATATTTAGGAATTCCAGCATTAATTGTGAAGGCATCACTGACTCTTTTATAAGCAAGATCAAAAGGAATGGTATATTTGCACACATATCTGCATCTATAGGCATCCAATCTTATAGGTATTGTCATATGATTAACAGAACTCACAGGTTCCATTTGCAAGCATCTAGCAAACAAATGTTCCTCAAAAGCATTATTTATATTTCTGTAAAAGCAACTGGCGAATCACAAAGAAGCTAATCCATTGTTTCTCCCATGATAGCAAATGTATCAGGTTGGTTATTTTTATAGGAAGTTCTATCACCTCCAGCAGGACGCTTGTAGTCATGCAGAGAAAAAGTTGGGTTTACTCTGTTGAATTGTACCAGGAAGCACTTGAGAGGACACGTATGTCTCTAGTTTAAGAGTTTGGATAGACAGAGGAGAATTCATCTGGTTACAGCTCCACAGCAACTCCCCATCCTTCAAAAATGCACTTTAGAAACCACCCTCTCAACAGGCCAAGCCAAACCAGGCAATGCCTGTCTTCAAAGGAGTCATGAACCTAGGCTGAGTGTCTGACGCTCGCACCATGCAGGCACATAGTGTGGAACAAACAGGGTTGTCACACATCTTTTTCTATTATTTTTATCCTGAGCAGAGAGCAGTGCTGCATTCCAAGGACAGTGCCTACCTTCTGGGATCCCCGCAGGAAGGCCAAGAGAACGCGGCACATCGGCAGCAGGACGAGGCAGCAGTTGAGATTGAGGACAGATGCAGAAGCTCTGCTCACACACAATCCTAGCTGAACAAACATTGCAAGAGTTAGATTATGGGAAGAAAAGAATGGAACGTGTCAGTACTGTCTGTCTTTTTTTGCTGTGAAACCAAATGGCTCCCATGCTCTCAGTATATCAGAATAGTGGGGTCTCATGATGTTTTATTGTACTGCAGAAACCACAGTACACACAGCATGCTGTCCTGTCCTCACAGGGAAGGAAACAGCTTTCATCTTTGCATCAAGAAGTTATTAAAAACTAATTCTGTCAACAATAAATGGCAACTTTCTACGAGAAGAGCCAATATCCTCACCAGTGCCCAAAGTCACATGGAACAAAACATCTGAGACAACAGTAAGTGCCCACTGACAAATCACCTGAAAGCTTCAACAGGCATAACTAAATAAAAAATACTATGGTGACAATAGACAGCCACTCGAGTGTAACAATTTTCTGTTAAGCCACAAAAAGATGTAAAAAAAAATATTGATTCAGTCAAACTGAAATGGTCATAGTGTTTCAAGGACTGTTATAGAATTGTCACATAATTCCTTTATCCATTCACATTATGCAATGCCATATTTAGATATAAAGAAAGTAGGTTTTCTTCAGTTTAACTGCTCAATAGCTGGGAACTGTAATGAAATCTAATTTCACTAATGCTTTCACTGATATATTTGGAACTTACATAATTAGAACAAAAACACTTGTCAAATAAATGAACAAAGCACACATTCATGTCATAAACCTGTATTTTTAATCTTATATTATCTCATTCATTTATGATTTTTAAAAGTTAGCAAAATGCCATTGTTCTCCTAGTTATTAGGTTGAATTACCATTTTATTAGCTTATATAAAAGATGTTTTTAGACTGTCAACAGATTTCTGGAAGGATATTTCTTACGCTCTTCTCAAAACCCTATGTATTTTAACTCCTGAAATAAATTAGTAAAAAAGTACTATAATATTAAAGATAACTCAAATACTGCAGGAGCATGTGAATGAGTTGAACAGGTACAAATTATCTAATAAAAATTACTTAAGATTACCTTTTCAAAATGAAGCTATGTAAAAAATGAGCACGTTTTACTTTCTCAGACAAAAAACGTAATCTGTGAAACATCTATTATATTCTTATCTTTGTTTTCAAGAAGAAACAAAATTTACAGACGTACGTTTGTGTCACGGAAACAAATGAATATATAAGCTAGTAAAAACAAACAGAATAACTGCACTTCAGAATATCTTGCAAGAGCAAAAGCACAGTATGAAAAGGTTTGTAAATACCAGTACCATAAAACATTACAACTGCCTGCTCTCATAGTTAGCAGCATCCATGTACCTCACCTGCTCTGCAGCACACCTGGGCACAGCACCAGGAGGCAAACAGAAGGTAAAGATGTTCAATCTACCTGAAGAACCAGGCTCTGCACCTAAATCCTTTTTCTCTTCCAGCTATTTTACTTAGTTAGACTTGAGTGCTGGAGACTTCCTCAGCAGACCCCACCAGCTTCCACAGCACAGAGCAGTCACAAGGGCACCCTCACTCAAAAGCTGCCCCTGAGAAGTAGGAGCAATTACCCCACAAAATGTGCTCTACCTTGTTCTCTACCATGTAAATGTGGCATCTCCAGCAAAAAAACCCCAGGAACAGATCATCTCCAACCTACTGAATGATAGAAAATAAGACTAAAATGAGCCATGTCACTTAGTTCTTTCCCACTCTCCAGATGTCCTCCACTATTTCTTCCAATGCACTGTTAGTCCTCTTTTTCCTTACATAAAACCTCCCTTGCTTTCATAAAACTCTCTGATCACTTGCACAAAGAGAAATTTTTCTTGCTACTCCTTCCTCATAAGCCATGTTCTTCAGATGTTAGGCCATTCTCTCCTCCCTGCTCTGGACCCTCCCAGCTGGAAATGACCCTTGAACAGACCGGACTTAATGAAAAGAAAAGCATCTCTATAATGCACTGTTTGCATACACAACACTGTCTCTCTTTTCATTAAATCCTCTAAAAAGAAGCTAAAAACGAGCTATACACCTCATTGAAGCAATAACTTCAGAAACATGGTCATTAAATATATAAGAATTTTTATTGAGGCTTACTGATGTGCTACAGTATTGCAGTGATTAAATGGGCATGACTTGAAAAACTCAAGTATTATAGAAATAATGTTATGAAAACTCCAGAAGTGAACTGAATCATTTTTGTAGCTTTTGACTAACACCCAAAATCTGAAAAAGCTGCAATATCATTAACGAGCAGCTTGAAAATTTTAATAACTTCTGTTGTATGATTTATATGATACATCATTAGTTTCTCAAGAATTTATGCTGTCTTTGAGTTTAAACATCAACTGGGCATGACATCAATTATCCAAGGCTTCCTTTACCAAGCACAACAATTTTTCTTACAAAGCTTCAACAAAACAATAGTTTGGCCTAGAAGAGAGTCAATTCTATGTTGTATAGTGTTAAATAAATGAAATAACTCGTCACAGTTCAAGAAGCATTTGGACAACACTCTCAGGCACATGGTGTGATCCTTGGGATGTCCTGCTCAGACTGATGGGTCCCTTCCAACACAGCATATTCTGTGATTCTAAGTAAGATGCCAAAGAATTTAACAAGTCTGAATTACCAATAATGTGTGGAAAAGGCTATCCTACTAACCTTCCTTTGTTCTTCTCCACTATTTAACAAATAGCAGATATTCATTCATAATGCAATGACTATGGAAAAATGCCCTTACATTCATTATAATTCAATGCTATCAACACTTGTACAAAGAAGAAAACAAAACAAAAAAAAAAAATAAAAAAGAAAAAGAAAAGAGAGTCCAACAAACAACTGCACTTCCAAGGAAGTATGATTCAAATATTAAAATATTGTTACCAATGGTTCATGTAAGGTTTTATTCTGAAGAAATAAAGTGCAGCAATATTTCCTGCAACAAGCCCATGACTGATTTGCAAACAATGGTAAATGCATTTAGAAATTCTTAAAATCAAAATTCAGGCAAGAAGAAAATGTATTTAAGTTTACTCTCAATATATATTCAAAAGCTAAAAATATTACCATGAAAGTAATTCTTTCCAAATGGTTTCCAAGAGATTTCTTTCTTAACTTCCTTTGCATTGCCTGGGAGGCATAGTAACAAATTAACACAGTACATTGCTGGATTTTTAAACAATAGCAGAATAAAAGATGATTTTTGCTCCAAGGCAACTCACTGGATCTAGAAGGGAATATATATTCTTATTAAGCAGTTAAGAAATTAGAGAAATATAATCCTATTTTCTTCCTGAAGTTTTTACTGTCTTAAAAAAAAACTAAACCCTTCTATTGCATGTTACTAGCATGTGAAATTTCTGCAGGATCAAAAAGAAAAAAAACAACAAAACACACACACACAAAATCTCTGCTGGACATGGCTTTATCCAGCTTTGCTGATATTAAATCCAAGCATTCAACCACCTCCTTCCACAATCTGACTACTTGGTACAACATCCACTGGTATCTGATTTCATGGAGGGGCAAAGAAGCATAGAAAAACTAAAGGATTACTCAAATTTACAGACTAAATCTGTGGCAAAAATAGTAGGGAACTGGACCACCTACAAACTCAAATCCTAAAAACTAGGTTAGATTTTTCCTCCAGACAAGCAAAAAGGAATCGCCATCTTCCCCAAAGCAGCATGAAAGAGCTCCAAAATGTTAAGCTTTTCAGTTATCCCTGTCTGATGTCCCACAGAAATCCAGATGGACTCCTGGCTGTGCTCATACAACATACAAAGTAGGACAGAGAAGTGAAGAGTCAGTTCTTGCTGTACCTTGCTGTAGCAAAGAATGAAAATGAGCTTTCTCTGTTAGGAAAAGGAGCTCTCTCTGACAGGGAAATTATTTTAGTATTAGATTGAGGGCTGAAGTACCTTACAGTGTACCCCAGAATTTCCCAAAGTTCATCAGTTATAAATGCAGAGATGAATGTTACCTGCAACTGCTGTGCACAGAAATCTGATATTTGATACACAGATGCAAAATGAAGATTTCAACAAATACCGTCCTATATCACCTTTCAAGCCAATCTTGTATCAAAAAAATGTTAGAATGTAAACCCTTCTGCACCTGAGATGATGTGATTTTGTTTCTCAAGACTTCACTACCTACAAGCAACAGTCCTAAACAGGTCATGGTGAAATAGAGATACCACACTTGATGCTGTTGTTTTCTTAAAAATTGTTCAATCTTCTTTGGTTCAGGGCACGTTGAAAGGTTCTGGCAAGACTCACAAAACACGTGCTGCCATGTGCTGTGTAGACACAGGTCACTGACCACCTCCCCACATCAGTACTGGACCAGCTAAAGTTAATTATTTTCCTAGGTGGAACAAACTGCTCTACACAACATGCCTCCTTTTGACTCAGCTTCCTTTTCTTCATCGAGTACTCCTTCTCTTGAGTAACAGAGCACTGATAATCTAAGATGAAGGCTAGAACCGAACTGTATGCACAGCAATTATTCCCCCTAGGCCTGTCAAATCTGGCTGGAGAGCTAGCACCAAAACCACGAAGCAGCTGAGAAGGAAAATGTGAGGGTAGGGGAAACAGAAGTTGGACTTGATTTTGCTCTTGAAGAAAGAAGGTTTCAAAGAAGGACTCTGTAAATCCCAATCTCATGTACCGCAACCCTTTAAAATTATTTTAAGTGGTGAAACATTTTTTATATGTATGGGGTATCTTCCCTACACTGCTGAGAATCAGTATTCTCCCTGCTCACTTGTAACTCATCACACAGGCATTCCTTGAAGGTTTTCCATCTCTTCTTATCTACAGGTTTAGGTCATGTTCCCATTTTATATGCAGTGCCTTTGTGTAGGATGTACTCCTCCTTCTGCTTAAATCAGTCATTCAAACTGAAGAAAGCAATTTACTTAATCTTGAGTGCAGTAATAGCTTCCAACTTCTCTGATAATCTCCAAGCAAAGGATCAAGATACACAGTTCCCTCCAATGCTAAGATGTGCAGTGTAAGCAGGTTGCAGTGTGGTTGCGTAACGATCAATGAAAGTGGAATTTGGTCTCAATTAGTAAAATCTCTGTCGGAATGACAAACTAGCAAAGAGAGACATGAAAGTACTGGAACATCTGGAACATATCCCAAGCAGTGAATAAAGGTGACAAATCCTATGCACAATACTGCACAGTAAGAAGGCAGCAATAAAAAATGTGAGGCAGCACTTTTTCTTTGCAGCCCCACTTTCAGTTATTCAGTCTTTTCCAAAGAGATCCTGCTGATAATGCATTTTCTTCACTTTGGTCTGAAACCCAGAAGCTTATCTCTTGCATTAACATTTATTAGCATTACAGTTATTCGAGCAGGGACAAGAGAGGGAATGGGGAGAGACCCTTCATGCCATGACAAAATGAGCTCAGAGCTCTTTCTGCTCACAGGGAGTTCAAGCAACAAGAAAAAAGCATTCCATTCAATGCTGTTAAAGAAAGACTTGAGTTCTATAAGGACAGTACCAAATTTATGACAGATTTTTTTTGACCAGGCACAATCAAGCTTGCTGGACAAAAATACAGCCAAGCTAGACTGAAGAGAGAAATCCCAAAGTCTGTGAAGACATAAATCTGGACGATTTTACTGACTGAGTGGACCAAAATCTCCAACAACGAAGATTTTGGAGTCAATTTAAGACTCTCCCTTTCTGTAACTCATGCTCACTACACATTATAGTACCTATCATGAATACAAAGATGATAATATTCCTTTCCTCTTTGCCAAACTCTTTTATTAGAAATTCATGTCTGTTGGAGATTTCTTCACAGGCTTCTCTTCCTTAAGCAATGTAAGATCACAAGTTAACATCTATCAAGTCATTAAAAAAGAGAGATTTTTTTTTATCTGCATTGTGTTTTTGCACCAGTGTCAATGAATGCATTCATACAGTAAGAATGATCTGCAGTGTTACAAGCAATTCAGTATCCAAAGGGATGGTTCATCAAAGGAAAAGTACTGGAAAGGGATTTACATCCACGAGGTTCTGGTGAACCTTCACTGGCAAGCATTATGTAACCACAGAATTATTCCGGTTGGAAGGGACCTCAGGATGTCTCTGCTCAAACCCCCTGTTCTAAGCATGTTCAACACCAAACTCAGATTAAGTTTGCTCAGGGCTTTTTGCCCAATTAGGTTTGAAAACTCCCAGGGACAGAGAATGCACAGCGAAGAGCTCATGGTGTCATCAACAGAAGTCAAACTGAGGGAAGCAGGGATATTTGACACAAAATAACACTAAGTTTCCTGATACATAAAAGGTTGATGAACCTCCTCCTACCAAATTACTGCCTTCTAGTTATTTGTTCTCTTCGCACTTTCAGGAGACTACCATGCTCTTTGTGCCTTTTTACAGGTGTAGAATTAAGGATCAGGAAGACTGTCATTGAAAGACTGAGTGAAAGTTAGGTACCTAAACAATTTTTAAATCCTGTCCTAAAGTATCATGTTCAACATCACAGAGAATGCAATTGGAAAATAATAAATCTGAGCCTCGTTCTTCTCTAGACAGCTGAAAGGAAGTAAATCACTTGTGACCACTGAACAAAAGACCCAACCCCATTCTTTCTCCCTCTTCACATAAGAAAGGAGATGGCACAGCTGAATACATTCAGAATACTCAGTCCAACATATTGTTTCATACCATACTCTGATTTCCTACAGCAACTCTTGTTCTCAATTCTGTTACTTGGTAAACAACAAAATTACCTATGCTAAATATTTCCATGCTGCAAGTGCAAAAGTTCTTAAGGCGATTACAGCCTGTTGTAGTATATTAAGAAAGAAAAAAAAAAGCCAACTCCTTAGGAGACTTCACTGAAAAAAACAGAAACTTCTTTTAACTCAAAAAGTGCCACTCGTTTTTGGCAACTTTGTCAACTCTCTGGAAAAAGGAATCAATTGTCATGGAAGTATCCATTAAAGAGTTCAATCTGTTAAGACAAAAAATATCAACTGTTGAATTATAAACGAAGAATTTAATCTAAATCTCAAAATCTTCAGGCACCAAGAAATGGCACAAACGTTCTACAAACCACTCACACAAGCACAGCCCAGAGAGGCGACTGGCTATGCAGGTGGACCATGGGTCAGTGGCTATACAGACCAAGAGAGAAGACAGGAAAAAATTCCTGTGGAAGGCAACTGCAGCTGTAGAATTGCTTATACCATCTCTTGAAGAAACCAAAGTAGGTTCAGTTTTCTCAACCCTTGTAAAATAATCTCTGTGATTAAAACACATACACAGATACAATGAAGAGAAGGTAGAAAGCTAACTTTTGGCTCTACTGAAGATATTTAGATGAACTGTAAAAAGTGAATTGCAAGTACATTTTACAGTCTTTAGTATTTTCAAAGTGTTAATTAGTTTTGTAACTTTGAATTGAAGTATCATTTAGACTTAGCTCTTCATTTTTAACCTTATTTTAGAAGTCCCTAAATTCTGTGGTACTTTTTCCCACAGTGGCAGACACAATTATACAAACTTAAAAGCATGACCTCCTAGTCCCCGTCTCCTGACCAAGACAAAGAATCTGTTGCCTGAGTCATCTCACAGATTCTCAACACACATTGTTACTTTGCAAGAGTCTTCCATTTTGAAGTATAAGAAAACCAAAAAAAAAAAATCCCAACCAGATGATGAGCTGGTATGAGGCAGACGAGTCATCGGAATTGAGAGAAACTTGCTGATTGATACCAGCTGAATATCTGGTCCAACATGTTACCCAGGAACATTTGCTTCACAAACAACCCATTTGCTCTGCCAGGAACAAACACAGTTTTCAAATGGATACACTGGGCTGCAAAGCCACTAGAAACTGAAGTAAAATTAAACACATTTTCATGCTTTTTCTGTCAAGAAAGTCACCACCTTGAAGGATCTAATTATTATCATTCTCTTCTTTTTTGCACTGCCTTTGCTAAGATTCATTCTTGAAAACATCTGAATCAACCATAAGAAGAAAGGAAAAAAAAAGGAGAATATTGTATCAACTCAACTTACTCCTAAGCAAGATCACAAAACCTTATGGTACTGGCTAGTTATGACAATATCAGCCACGTAAAACTATATACCCTGGATTTACCAAAAATAAACTCCAGAGGCTATGCAGCAGATTAGGATGTGCATCATCTGTGTTTAATCCCATGTCAACTTTCTATGGAAATCCATCTCTGAGTATGACACAGTGTTACAAAGCATCATGTTATTCAGCCGCTTTTTCCCAGACTGTCAAATTCCGAGCTACCTGTGGGCATTTTCCAGAAAGATGTTAACCCTTACGCTATGCCTTTTTAGATAAAGGTATTTTTCACAATGGATAACTTCCCAAGGCAGGCTGGTACCTCACGTCTCCAAAGCATCTTTTTCGGTTCATCTGTTGGTGGTGGGTGTCACCCTTGCTAAATCAAAATACCTGAATCTTCATTAAACCACCCAGAATCAAATAACTTACTATTAGAAAACAAAACTAAAGTTATACGTATTACAGTGAATTTACACGGAACAGAGTATCCATAAGAATGACAAAGACTGAAAAGAACTAAGACTTATTAAAATAAATCACTCAGCTAGCATGTATACTACAATAACTGGACTGGAAAGGATTTGCCAACATGAGTCCATAGCTTGCTTAATGTGTTGATGATAAGAAGTGGAGCTCCAGTGATTTGTTGAGCATGTCTGTGTTCCTGTGAGCCTATCTGCTGCTGGGAACACCGGGATGGGAGAGAGGAGGTGAAAGAATAGCTGTCCCACACTTCACTAGCTCTTTTTCTTCTCAGCAGTGTTCACTTTCTACTCCTAAATGACTGTCAGAAGTATCCCAGTAATTTCTTACTTTGAAAAGTTAACAGGCAGTTTGTGTCATCTTTGGTTAGCAAATCCATTCTGCCCCTTATCCCATCCCCGAGCATCCCCAACTTCCAAGACAAAAAGTAACGTCCAGGTCACTCACCCCTAACATCTGATGCAAATAGTAATACTGTAGCCCTTCATTATAAAGCAGGAAGGTTTTCCCGAAGAGCCATACATTGAGGGAGAGCCAGAAAAACTGAAATGAAACAGAAACAAGAGATTGTCAGTGAAAGTTACATGTGCAAACTTTTCAGTGTTCATTTCATTCATAAAACTCATAGGTCTGTAGTTTCATAAACATATGTAAATGAAATGCAAAAGCAAACTTCATGCACAGAATATGTTTTAAAGTATTAAAAGGAAGTGCCCCCATGTGGGAAATTCTCACTTTCATTGAACTTCACAAAACTTTTTGCGTCGTACGACAACCGAGAGCTGGCAAAGCACCCCCATACAAGACGCTATCCCAAATCTTTAGCTGGATGCTGCATTTAAGAGGCTCCTCAAAGAATAAAAAACAACAACAAAGAGACAAAGGAAGAAAGAACTTGACCTCCAAGAAGCTGCATCTTCTCCCCCAAACTTTCCCAAAGAGAGCCGAACAAAGAGCAAGCACACGCACAGCGTGTGCGAGCTCGGCAGGGCACGGAGGCGGGCACTGTCCCGGCCATGGCACCGCGTGCATCCATCCCTGCCAGCCGCGCACCGGGACGCGCATCCCGCCCACCCGTCCGAGCTGCGGCACCCGCACGGAGCCCTGCCCCGCACAGCGGTCTTGTCCCGCACGGAGTCCTGCCCCGCACGGAGTCCTGCCCTGCACGGGGGTCCTGCCCCGCATGCCGTCCCTGTCCCGCATGGGGGTTCAGCCCCGTATGCCGTCCCTGTCCCGCACGCCGTCCTTGTCCCGCACGCCGGGCACGCCGCGATCCCCGGGACGAGGCGCCCCGCCCGCCCCGACCCGCGGGGCAGCCCCCGGGCCGGCCCCCGCCGCCTGGCAGCACCCACCGGCCCCTGCTGAGCCTCCTCCGCGGGTCAGCCCCGCCGAGGGGACCCCGCCGGGGCCGCCCCTACCAGGAAGAGGTGCTTGCTCCCCTCGTTGGCCAGCCAGCTCCTCCAGGACAGCGCCATGGTGCGGGACGCCCGCGGGGCAGGACCGAGGGTGGGGGGGCGCCGGGCGAGCCCTCCTTTTCAGCCGGGCCGAGCCGCCCTCCCCTCTCCCCACCCCTCACCCCCCGCCCTGTCTTCCGGCCGCCGGGGCGTAGCGCTCCGGCCCCGCCGCGCAGCCGGCCAGCCCCCGGCCCCGTCCCGCCGGCCCCCGGCCCCGTCCCGCCGGCGCTGCCCCCTTGTCCGCGGGCGAGCGCCCCGGGACCCGCAGCGCGGCCGCCCGGGGCAGAGCGGGGCTTGGGGGGGCATCACCGGAGGGCAGCGTGCCCTGCCCTGCCCCGCCGTGCTGAGCTGCGGCCGCTTCCTCGCATCCCCCACCTTGGGAAGAGTGTTTCCCCGCAGAGAATCCCGTCCGTGGGGATCCCGCTTGTCCGACCCCCCCCCCATCTCCGCCCGGGCTGAAATGTGATACACAAAAGCGGGAGGGAGCAGCCGTGCATGCGACTGCTCTGCTGCTCGGGTGAAACAAAGAGGCTGCCCAAGAAACTACTGTTCGGGCAGTACGTGAGGCCCTCGAAAGCCGGGAAGGGACAGGCTGTGTTATTTATTTGAAGTCTGATCCTGCTCCATCAGGTGTCCCTGGAGGACACTAGAAGAGGCCGCCTCCTGTGTGCCGGCGCAGCGGGTGTGCAGTCGAACAGCAGCCAAGAAAAAGGGGCCATGGGCAATTCCACATCCAAAGTCCGGGCTGTTGCACTTTGCCGGCAATCTGCCTTTACTGGTGATCTTCGTGTTTAGTTTGGGTTTGGGGAGGGTGGGCTTTGAGGGAAAGTTGTACAGGACCCTGATTTTTCCATTAAGAAAAAGCTTTTTAAAGAAATGCTTGTTGCTAGCAGCTTTCAAGCAGGACAGCCTTGTGAGTCAGAAACAGTTCCACCAGGCATTGTGGTGCACACGTTGCTTGTTCCTTGAGATAGCAGCAAAGGGGGCAGCAGAGCAAGGCTGGTTTTCTGGGAGATGCCAAGTCCAAGGAGCAGTGCTGAGTAGTCTCATCCAGTCCAGTTTGAGCTGGCTTTCTCTTATTATCTGGAAAGTTGCTATTTTTTGAGCTCCTTATGAGCCACACACTAAGGGTCCAGAGAAGAATGGAAGGGGGCAAAGAGCCATCTTTCTGCAGTTTGTATAAAGGTGGAGGGAATGTCTGACTCGTGTGTGGTCCTGGGAATAAAGAGTACAAGTAGGGCATGGCACCTTTGAAACTCAGTTGAGGGTAAAAATGCTGCAGCAAAAATGCTGCAGCAGGAGCTCTGTCTCAAAAAGTGGCAGGATTTCTGTGACTGCATAAAGTTTTAGGTGAAGTTTTGAAATAGCAAATAAAATACATCTATTTTATATCATCTAATGACATTAAAAGGAGAACTAGTGAAAGGGAAAATATATCTTTTGAATTTAAGACTCAATAGAATCATAGTTTGATACCAAAGCAGCCCTAACAGCAAAAGAAATTGCACAGTTTATTTATCTTGTTTGCTATTTCCATTCACTTTCCATTCACTTTCCATTCACTTCTGTTGTAATGCTAAGGAAAATGGAAACTGCTTACAGAGAATCAGGCAATGAATCTTCTCTGGACAAGCACATCAAAGCTGGAATGGCACAAAATAAAACTTGTAGGATATGTCAGGCCTAATAACGTGGGGCTTTGGCCGAAACTGAAGCCAAGAAGATACACACAAAACCAAAATAATTTTCCCATGCTATATTTGCCCATTAGAAATGGTTCTGAAAAATCAGCTTATGCAGGATTTGACTGCCCACTCACTTGAAGCTGATGACTCATGAGCCAGCACTTCACTGCCTACTTACAAAGTGCCATAGGCATGTGGAGCACATGACTCATGCTCGTCCACTTTGGATCCTACATCATATCTAGGTACAGAGCAAGGAATGTGTTTTTGTAGAAAACATCCCTATTTTCCTTCTCCCTGGAAACAGCCAAAGGCTTTGAATCATTAGCCCAAGTAGAGTCTGGCAGAGACCAATGTCACACTAATACATCTACATTCTTCCTCCACAGAAAAGGCTGAGTTCGTTTTCAGTTTTAAGCCATCCCAGATGTATATGAGTGTGTGTCTTAAACTTAAGAGCACTCAAAAATTACCATAGATGCTAGTTATAATCCAAATAATTAGAAAATAGTATGACTCTCAAAACATTTGAGCTCATCTCTGCTTTGTGGGCATTCATCCTATTATTATGGTAGTCTTTGTGCTTTGTCCTACCAACTGGACAGACCAGTGCCAAGGTAGGCAGTCCCTCTGGATTGAGTTTGCCAATACACCTGGGTGGCCAAGTGTTGGTAATGAGGGGGCCTGCAGGGGTGTCTTCTGAGAGAAGCTGCTGGAAACTTCCTCCATGTCCAGCAGAGCCAATCTCAAGAGGCTACAAGACAGATGTGCCACTGACCAAGGCTGGGCCAATCAGAAATGGAGCTAATGACTCTGTGATAACCTATGGAAGTAAGAAAAAAAATTATTGTACAGAGGCAATTGGTGCCAGAGAAGAGCAGGGTGAGATTATGAGAGGAACAGCCCTGCAGACCCCAGGGTCAGTGCAGAAGAAGGGCAAGAAGGGCCCCAAGCAACAAAACCGAAAATCCCCCGCAACCCCCGGGGCAACACAAGGGGAGGCAACCGGGCCCCCGCAACCCAAGGAAGGCCAAAAGGAAGGAAAAAACCAACCGCAACCCAAGGAAAAAAACCAAAAAGAAACAAGGGGAAGCCCGAAAAGAAGGTGGGAAACCAAGGAAAGCCCAAGGGGAAACAAGCTCCTGGCAGGGACCTGCATACCCAGAGAGAGGAGCCCATGCTGGAGCAGGTTTCCTGGTAGGACTCATACCCTGTGGAGGACCCATGATGGAGCAACCTGTCCTTGAAGGACTGCACACCATGGAAGAGTGACCCACACTGTAGCAATTTTTGAAGAACTGTTGCTGGTGGGATGGTTACTTCTCATTGGAGAAGTTCATGGAGAACTATCTCCCATGGGAGGGACTGCATGCTGGAGCACGAGAAGGACTCCTCTCCCTGAGCAGAGACATAATGACCATAACCCCCTTTCCCCATCTCCCTGTGCTGCTGGATATAGAGCTGGGAAAGAGGGAGGGATGAGGGGAAGGTGTCTTTAAAATCTTGTTTTGCTTTTCATTATCCTGCTCTGATTTTATTAGTAATAAACTCATTTAATAACCCCTAACCCATGAGCCCTTTGTTTTATTTTCTCTCCCCTGTCCAGTTGCAGAGAGGAGTGATAGAAAGGCTTTGGTGAGTGCCTGGGATCCAGCCAAGGAAAACCCACTACACCTTCCTAGAGACTGAACATACAGTTTCTCTGATAATGTTTCTTCTACTGCATCAGTAAAGTCACCCTTGACTGCACAGTCAAGTTCCAGGCCTACTTCCCATCAACATCCTCTACACTCAAATCTACTCTCCTAACATGTATTTGGGTGCTTTACAACAAAACACTTTGCTGAATGTTGTAGTCAATGTTACAGGCTTGGCTTATAAGTTTTCTTGTGCTGGAATTCTGCTTGTGTACCTGAGAGTGATCCAGAGTCAAATCACCTAAACTCCCAGGTATCTCCATCTGTCAGCATGTCATGACCATCCTGCAAGTTCCTGCAGTGATGGCATGTATTGTTGTGAGCACAACACTCTGTCCTTCCAGTCTGGGGAGCGATCCCAGCACCTCACCTTCTGCTCTGTTGCACTCTGGATTTAGAAAGACAGGCCCTTAAATTCTACATGCATCCCTAAGGGGGTTTGTCCCCTACGCCTTCTTGGAATATTTACCCTTAGCACTGAGATCATGGGAGGAGAAGAAAATGTTGGCACTGAACTTCATTACAGAGAACAGGAAAAGTGCAAATTCTGCATAACAGCTGAACGATTACAGTGCTTGCCCAGTAGTGGGAGAGCTGGATCTTTCTCAAAGAGCTGAAGCCATTGCATTCACTTCCTAGTAAAGTTTTCTAACCACTGCTTTTCACTGGGGTCAAAGAAGGAAACAATCTCCAGTTGAGCCACTGTGCTGCCAGGAAAGCGAGAGAAAGAGATGAGAGAGAAAATCAGAAAGCGATGCTTGCCAAGTAGTAACAGCACACTAAGGAAGAGAGAAGGTCATCTAGGAAGAGAAGACTTGGGATGCCAGTTCATTTATTGTTTCCATTGGAAGAAAAATGCAGAACAAATTTCAAAATTCAACATGTTTAGGAAAAAACTGCAATCACAGGAGAAACCAGAAACAGAAAGCTTTTCCCAAAAATGAATTTGTATTTCATGGAAACTTTCTCTTTAAACTTAAGCTACACGCTGTTTACCTTTATGATTTTTCCTTTAACTCTAGCATTCA